TGCAAGTTTGCAACTCGTAAGCCCACTACATCTGCAAATAAGATTTGGCATGCCCTATGCTGGCAAAATATTTTTAAGACGTTTTTGACATCAAATGATCCATCTCTTTGTGCAGTGTGCATAACTTGAGCCCTAAATCATCTGACTTGCCGAAAATCAACTGGACAGTGAAGGAGAGGGAGTTGTATAGATTCCCTGTCAGATACGTAAGGGTAGCAGTTCATGCTAACAATTATGTAAGACTTCATAAGCTTAAACGCTTAACATTATCTTGAGGGCTCGTCCTTAATGACCTTCTTTGTATTCAGATAACCAGTGGCATAATGGCATTCAAAATATTACTGAAATAGCTAATATTCTCTGCAGGCACTGCTGCTCTGTACTGAGCTCTCTAATTTTGACACACTACCAGGCGAATACTACAAAAGTAAGTGGTGAGTGGGATGAGGTGGTTTTTTTTGGCATTGTGTTGAAGTTAGATTGACTAAATTGGTTATTTAGTTCTAAGCAATAGACCTAGTAAACTGGGTTTATTTGGTGCTTAATACATCTGGTTTCATGTATCACTCTCTGCTTTCAGTGCAGCAGATAAGATACCAACACAATTAAAAGTGAAAAATAATCTGTCTGCTCTGCCAGTGGTGGATGCTCAGAGAACACACGCTGATACAATAGATTTCTGAATAATTTATACTCAGCATTTTTTCCTTGCACTCGGTAAATGAGGACGCCTAATGTGGCATGGTCAGAGTGATACTCTATCTGTCATCCATTAAGATAACAAGATTGGTGGGCCTGGGAGGCGCGTGGTGTAGTGCGCAGAAAAAATGAGATTAAAAATTGAAACATTTGTCCGAAATGCTTTGTGTAAAGGATGCCAATAAAAGCAGCTCAGAAGGACGGAATTAATTCGTAAGTGTGATTTCTGCAAACCTTAGTTTGTCTTCGCTAAAATAAAACCGTAAGATCCGTGTTCCTTTCAAAAGTTGTGGATAAAAGGAATATTGGAGCAAATCACTGTTCCTGATAGGTCTTCAGTAGCTTCCTCCACTTTAAATTCAACTACTTTGTAGGTGCTATCAAAAACAATTATGTATAACAGTAATGGTTTATGTCTCACCAAATGTTTTTTTTTAATATTCATAAGGCATTTTAAAAGAATCATTGGTGCTTTTTTTTGGCACAGGAGTGTCTCATCTCCTGTCACAGGGTATTAATTTGGACGGGATGCTAAAATATTTGCATAAAAAATTGCTCATGTAAATATTCAGCCAAACAGATGCCTTTTGAGGTGCATGTATTACAGTTAAGTAGTAGCTTCTTTTCCAAGAGCCAGTAGGTACTCAAAGCTGATTAATTTATAAGCAGCGGTGGTTTGCTATCTCTGAAGTTTCTGACAGCTTCTTAAGGTTAGGTTGCATGTGGGTTTTCCTGCTTTTTGAAGGAACTGTTGGGGTTGTGAGATGGGATGGAAGTAATTTGACAAAAAGCACTTGGAGGAAAACTTGGGCCTGCTTCTAACTTTGCTCTTTTTAGCAAACAGGCCATTGTATTATACCTGTGCTATCTGGAACCCAGCCTTGAAATGGTTTAAATGTGCTTTTCTGTTCAGCCGGGCAGCAAGCGCCCGCTCTGCCCATCCCTGTGTCCTGCAGGGTTTTCTCTGGCTGCAGAGCTGCAGGTAACCAAAGCAGGCGAGGTGCAAACCCCCGCAGAGGGGTAGACAGGACGCATTTTTTTAGCCCAGCGTCAGATTCAGGAAACGTTTCTGGGCATGACCCTATTTGCGGTGCCACCCAAAACTTGGGTGCCAGGCTTGTCGAGGTGGGTGGGGAGACCCAGCCCCAGCGCCCAGCAAGTGCTCCTCGCCCGCCGGTGCTTGAACTCCTGTCTCTCCCCCTATGATGGCTTTGGTTTGGGGTTTGTATGCAAAGAAATGAAATAATATTTATATTAATCTGGGCGTTTTTCTTAGTGCCTGTCCAGAGGAAATTTTGAAGATCAAATCTTTTCAGTGACGTATCGCTGAGGTTTTAAAATGAGCTTGCCTCAAGTCTTAGTAGAAATAGTATCCCAGTGTTGTCTTAGGGAAGAGTACTTGGGGAGTGGGCCCTAACATGCTGTTGAGAAAACAGGCCCTTAGTTTTGAGCAAGACCACATTATATACCTTTTTTCACCTGAATATTTTACAGAAATAAGTTCATTTTTCTTTCTGTTTCATGGGTAACTCCAGGAAGAAAATCAAATGCAGGTGTTAAAAAGTAATTTGTAAAACAGGCTAAGCTTCCACAATTAATATCCTCGTCTACATCTTTCACTCTGCGTAGGGCATTGCCTGGGGAGGTTAGGCTGTTGAAGAACCTGTCTTCATTTCGACCTGGAGGTCTGCTTTTTCTGAGTTTGTTCCTCTTAAGCCTTTTCTATTAGTAATCAGTTCATGAGTGCTTTACACTTGCTGTCTGCAGAGGTTGGATCACCTTCTTCTGTTGGGCTGTGTGGTCAGCTTTGGATGATGAGGACTGAGACAGCCGCCTCCGCTTTCCTTCCTGATGGGCTGTAATTAAACCCTAGGTTAAAAGGGTGCAGAAGCTGCATCTACATATCAGAACTGATCAATCACCGGGCGCCATTAGCTACTGATTATATTTTGGTGAAGCACAGGTATATCTGGAGGAGGCTGGTTCCTCTTTTCTCTGTATTGGGTGACTCTTTTGAAGCTCATATTTCGTTTCAAGTAGCGCCTGTGTCAGTAAATCAGAAGTCTCTCGAGTATGGATGCACAGCAGCCTCTGCCCCAAAGATGTGCAAGGCAAAGAGGAGGCTTTGGGAGCTGTTTTTTTAAAAATTACTGTAGTAGTTCAGTGTGGTGAGACAGTTGCTGCACGAGAAGGTAATTTTTGTTCATTTGGGCCATTTTGTTTCCTGTCCTGTCAGGCTGGTGGTAGGAGAGTTACTCCATCGGTGATTGCGGGTGTTGATTTACATGCAGCACTGGATTAAGCCAGGGTGGCTGCAGGGGGGGCTACCAGTCTTGGCTTCCCCTACCTCTTTCCAACTAAAAAGTAGTGACTGAATAAGCTGTATAAAGAACCAGCACAGCTCACGCTTTCTGTCTGTTGAATTAAACCAAAATAGGTGCCATAGAATTCTCACAGTTCTAGTTAGCATCCTCAGCAATTACCGCAGAGCTGGCCATCACAATTAGGGGAATATCACAGCAAGAAAATAGTAAGTGAATATTACCATAAATTTTCTTCTTGGCAAGTAAACAAATGCACGCACACTTGCCATACTTTCCGTTGCAATGATTCAAGCGGTGTTAATGATCAAAAATGTGGAATATAAAATAGCAGTGTTATTGATAACTTAAAAGGTTTTAATTGTCTAAACAAATAGCTTTAAATTCTTACTCTGTCCAGTAGCTTAAGGAAAAGCAAGAAGTGAAGAGTTTTTATTTACCTCTTTGATGGTAGTATTAAGTATCTTTTAAATCAGAGGAGCTAACCTCAGGATGAGGCTTGCCTGTGCAAAAGCTGCAGAAAGCTATTTCCAGGGGTTACGTGATGAAGGAGGCATTTTTCAGTTCCGAGTGAATTTGAGGTATTTTCATAACATTAGCATCTATAGCATGTTGGGTGTGCAAGGAATTTATGACCAACCCTCACTGACTGTGCCTGCCCTACCACTCCCTGTTCGTATGGCCAGAAACTCTTCCAGTTAACTCTGAACGACAGGGTTTTTGGCTTTTGAACTACTCGCATATCTCGATGAGTGCTTCTAGGAGAGCCAATTTTATAACTTAGCATGATTGCATCTTTAGACAAATGCATTGTGGGCACAGAGCTATTGTCTGCGGCATCAAGTTTACCGCTTCCCTGTAGGGTGTAAACATGTGGCTGGTTGAAGAGTTTTAACCTCTCAAGCCCTCCAACAAATATTAAATTGCTAACTACTCTTCCATAATGCTATGATGTTGACTGAAATTTGACCCTGGTGCTTGCCGAAACAATTTTCAAAATCTGAGTGAGAAGGTTAAATAGTGCTGTCAAATTTCCAAATGTCTGTTGCAGAAATACTTTTGCTGAATATCTGTGGGTTGAGCTCTAAAATGCTTAAAGTAATCCTCTTTTTCTTTCTTCATTATTATATGATATTATCTAAAGCTTGTTTTTTAGTCCAGATAAAGAAATTAACTCTTTTTTTTCTTTTTTTTTTTGCCTTTTTTCTGTGCCAGCTCACCTTGCCATTTATGGCTGGTTTTCTCTCTTTTACTTGCCGAAGGAGGAATCCAGTCAAATGGTGTTCCTTAAGTACAAACCAGACCTCTAGTTCTCTTTAATTTCTGTTCAAGATCATTGTAATTACTTGATTATTTTCACAGCTGTATCTGAATAAGAAAAAAATGCTGTAATTGGCAACTCTTACAAGTTCACAACTCAATAACCTGATGCTGGAACTCTTCCACCTGCAGAAGCCTCATTAATTGCTGTAGGAGTTCCAGCAGCTAAGAGACCTGCATTTCAAATTAATTCTTTTTTTACGTGCAGCCTTCGAACTAGAGGATCTCTGCAGTAACAAGAGTAGATGGGACCTTTAGGCTGAGAGAGGCTGTTGGTTGTTGGATCAGTGTTTGACTTCCAAGTGGATCTGTTAGGAAGGCTGTTGTTTACCCAACTCATTACTACATCCATAAGCCCGAAGCATTTTTATTTGAACTTTTTTGTAAAATCTAGGACTTAATTTCCTGAATGCTGTTACTAGTTCTAATTTTGTTTATTTTGGCCTTAGGTTGCATTACTTAATTAGTTTTTATTTAAGAGATGAGTCTTATGTTGCAAGAAACAATACTAAATTATAAGATGACTTGAGTCTTTAAAGATGTCATACTCCAGCCATAACTTCAAATTTATTTTGTTATTTTAAAGCAATGCTAGTGCCCATCTCTAAGGGTTACGGGAAGCTCAGAAGTTTATTTGATTTCTTTTTTTCTTGATTTCAGGGCTTTTTCCGCAGGAGTATCCAGAAGAACATGGTTTACACATGTCACAGAGACAAAAACTGTGTTATCAATAAAGTTACCAGAAATCGCTGCCAGTACTGCAGACTACAGAAGTGCTTTGAAGTGGGAATGTCCAAAGAATGTAAGTTGTCTTCAGAAACAATTTGTTTGTCATAGCCTATCTATATATGGCAGTCCCAGGGGAGAAAAATATTATGCAATTAGTGATTGAAGCCAGTATCTGTATTCATATGCAGAGAAAGGAGTATGAATTTTGTACACAACTTCAAACTTGTACTTTATGAACTTCTGGGTCCTTAACTTTGCAGCCTAAATGTCATCAGTTAAGAACTTCTAGTGCAACACGCTGCCTGTGTGGGTGTGAGAAATCCCAAGGGGGTAATTTCACCAGGTTTTCTAAAAGAACAAACCCACAGCTACTTGCTTTAAGATTGGATTATCTCCCATCTGCTCCAGAAATGGCTTCTTGGGGCAAGGGCATAAGAGGAACAGTGCTGGCTTCTTAAACTCAGGTTCAGTACTCCTTCCCTGCAGACCAGCTTGTGGCTTTGCTGGGCTTGGTGTCAACCCAGGATATCATTTCACAAGGGCTTCCCGCTGGCTCTCGTGCAGCAGGCAGCAGCCTTCTTCAGCCTTGCACCTTCTCCCTTGCGCTAGTGCAGGTGCTTGTGCCAGAGGTCCTTCTTTTGGTGGTAGCGCCAGTTTGTGCCCTTTTACAAAGCTGACAGTACAATGGCCTTGAGTCTTCTGTTCTTACCAGTGGAGCCTCTCTGAAAGGTGAAACAAGCTGGCAAATCTGCAAAGCCAGTAAACCTGACTATGGACAAATGCTGCCAAGTGCACAAAAACCCCAAAGGATTTTCCTCTCTCTTCTTTTCTAGAAGTCTCTGGTTTGCCCTTTAAATTAACATTTTAAAATATTTAGGTAGAAATCTGTGATTCTTCTTTTTCCAGTTTATTGATATCCCTGTCAGGCATGAAAATTTAGCTAAAAAAGTCATTCACAAATTCTTATGGGGTGATGCTTCTGAAACTTTCTCATTTTTGATTGGAGTGATTGCAGTAACAAAAAAGTCTTTTGTGTAGTGATTTGTTTGATTGTTGAGGGTTTCTACCTCTGTCAGTGATGTTTCTGATTTCAGGTCAATTCCAATAATAAACACCACAGAAACTTGCAGTGTGTGCATAAGAGAGGGAAAAAAATTGCCCAACGCCCCTTCTTTACTTTAATTCACCTGCAGGAGTTCCTTAGAGAGACTTTAAGACCAGAGAAAAAAAAATTAACACTGATGAGACATTTATGACTGAACTTTGATATAAATCAGTTCTCATCCTCTGCATTTCTCCTTCCTGAATTGCATGGGACTTCCCAGTAGTTCCCATCTCCATACTTGGGCAGGAGCCGAAGAGGTCCCAAAGTCACACTGGTCCCTCCTGATTGCATCCCTTTTTTTCTCTCTTACCCTCTCCTTCCTGTCCTCTCAGAGGAAGAGTGTTGAGGAGTAGAGAAAGACCACTTTGCACTGTTTTCAACTCCTTTTCACGGAAATCTGAAATTGTGGTTATTGAAAAGGGCTGACATGAAGTTTCCAGCAACGGGGGGAGCTAGGAGGTCATAGGATTTCCATGATTTCACTGTCCTTGCTGGGTTTTCTGGTTTTCTTGTGTGCCTGAAGTGCACTTATCTATACTTACGTATAGATTTACTGGAGTGGAGACTGTGATGGGAGTAAAGGACAAGTTAGGCTAAATACAAAGATGCACAAAGATGTAAGATTGAATGAGGAGGATTTTATTGATAGGTATTTGACTGCATATCTATCTGTGCACATGAAGCTTTTTTCCTTGATAAAAACAGTATGATGCAGTTTGGGAGAGAAGACAAAACACTTTGTTCACCTGAGGGCTTGTTGGTCTTGAATTCTTAAGGATTTTATTGCTGACGTGAAGTAGTAATCTTATTAAAAGCTGTAACGTCACATCAGAGTAAGTTTTGGAAATGTCAGCAGTATTTCCAACATGTTAACCAAAGTTACTTAGGGTAAAGTATAAAGACTTACTGCCTTTTAGGTGATGGTTTGTTTTCTCCCATAGGGTAGCTGGAGCTTTGCCAGCAAGAGTTAAGGTTTTGCTCTGCCTGTTTCCTTGGGTGAACTGAGTGAAATTGCCCTTTGGCAGGTGCCTTTATCTCAAACCACTACGGGCACTGAGAGGGGGATAGCGCATTGGAGGGGGAACAGAGGGTACTGGGGAGAAGTGGGGGATGTCCTCTGGCTGCATTTCTGTAGAAGGCATTTGCAAAGGAACAGAGAGAAATTATTTTAAATGTCATCAGTTTGAATGCATTGGGTCTTGTCTTCTGGGTTTAAGAACTAAGTCTGAAGTGATTCCATGTTATCCCTTCGTAAACAGGAGCTTTTAATCTCTTAAGAGATTTGAAAAACTGTTTTCTTATCTGACCTTCTTTCATACCTGTCTCCAGGTTTCAACCCCATTTCTTTAGAAGTTTATGTAAACAAAGGCACATTTGTCAGCGGGCTTTTTCTTAGCAGATAGAGGTTTTTCTTTTCCCCCAGTACCTTATTCACATTTTGTTTTTCTGTCTTCTTACAGTTCTGTTACCTTGTAACGTGAAAGCCATGAACAAAGGACAGAAAAAAGTATCAGAGAAATCTCATAGGGAAACAAGCCTACAGTGCTCAAACCCTTCCCAAATGGGAAAAGTAATTGTGGTGGGCAGCTGCAAATAGGAACCCCAAGGTCTCTTGCCAGGAGCTAAGGAGGAGTAAATGCAGAATTTCAGTATACAGAATAATCTGTGCTTTAACGCTACAGTCCTGTGTTTATTTGTTCTGCCTTTAAAGGGCATGCAAAAGTGCTTGCATATGCGACTCCTTTTGAGCTTAATGAGCGTTACAGACAAACATCAGAGATGAGAACTGGCTGCCCAGCCAGCGTGATAAGGTTTTAAGAATGGAGCTACAGCGTTTTGGAAGAGAGGAGGTACTGAGCATTTCTTCTATGTTTTTATCTTGGTTTAGAGAATGAAGTGAGATGATGAAGGAATGCACCAAATTTGCACTTCTTGATAGGTTGTTTTGTTCGTGTAGGGAAAAAGAAGTTATCTTTGACCCCATGTTAGTCCCCAGATCTGATCAAGAGAGGTCAATAACAAGACTGCCTCCAGGGCAGGAGTGGAGCTATTTGCCTTGTGATAGTATCTGCAGGACCCGCTGAGACTGGATCCCACTAGCGCAGGCACTGTCTTTCATTGTGCAGGCGCTGTTGCAAAAAGTTTGCGCTCCAAATAGACAAGACAAAGGGTGTGAGGGGAAACGGCTTAGTGATGACTGCCTTATCATCCTGCCACAGGGCAAAACACAGCTTGAAATAAAGCCCTGCTGTCTTTCAGCAGATCCCCCTCCTTCAGAAACTCCTGAGCTTGTGTCCCTGCAACCTGAGCTGCAGCTCTCAGTGTGAGAGCCCGGAGCCAGCCCCTCCACCAGCAGTGCATCAAGTGTTGGGTTTATTGTATGGCTGTCCCACGTCAGTTCATGCATGGGTGCTCAGGTGTGTGTAGGTGCAGCTGAGCCTCTGATCCCCACTCCAAACCATTTCTGTCCTCCTTACCCTTCCAGCCGGTTATTTTTTTAATTGACGTGTAGAGACAAATGGTGATCACACAGAATTCTTTTTTTTTTTTTTTGCTGCCGCTGAAGTGAGAAGGCTACTAAGGCTGACAGTGGCTCATTATGTGATGGAGAGCCTTAGGAAACTAACCTCTGCCCTTCTATTACGTGATCTCTAAGCTGATGCTGAAGCACCATCCTTGGCCTGACCCCAGGTGTCGGCAAGCAGCGCACTGTTGCCTGGATGCACGGACCTCGGCCCTCAGGAGCTGGCAAGGGGTCACACGTACGGCGCTGCCTCCCGCAATTAAGGGAGCACTCGGGAAGCTGGGCAAAACTCTGGAACAATAATGGACTCTTTCAAGCAGGATGCTGGAGCATACGCTTTGTAAGGTGAAGCCTGCCCTTAAAGAAAACCTAAACTGGATTTATTGCGGGGTACAAGGGGGAAGAAAATGGAGCTTCCTTCTGCCCCAACTGCTCAGCTTAGCCCAGCAGCTCTTCCACTTCCATCCTCTTTTATAAAATTTGCAGGCCGCAAAGACTGTCACTGTGCTTTGATGATCTTTGGGGTCCCCCTCAGAGACACACCCGGCCCATGTACCCCAGTACAGGTGTGATGCAGAGAAGCCCTCTGTACTGGCATAAACCTCGTCTGCAGTGCGCTCTAATAGAGCAAAATTTTAAAGGCACAGAATTATTGTTCCAGATTGCTTCAGTGCACTGAAGCAATGTTCAGATTTGTAAATCTGCTTACAATTAACCTCTCTGGAGGGAGGGAAGGAGGAAGGAAGGGAATGCAGGGGAATTACCATGAAATGGAGATAATCCAGTTTTTGTGCTCTGTATTTGTTGGTTTTTTGGTTTTGGTTTTTTTCAACTTGCACAGAAATGTCTGTTACTCTTTGTCACAGACTTCCAAGTCTTAGAATATTTAAATGTTCATGCTTCTCAGAACATATGATTACATTCTGCTACTGAACAACAGAATGAATTGATTTACTTATTTTAATTCTGGTTTAAATTGGCAACCAGGAAACATCAACTTGAAGAACTGTCATGTTTGTATTTTTTATTTTATATTTCTGTTTCATTTTCTTTTACACTCCTTAGTGAAGCATGATTACATCTCCAATGAATCACTAAGCGGAGGGCTAGTCTGCATAGTTGCGTTTGAGAAGTTCATGCAGATTCCACTGATGTAATTTTAAAGTAAATTAGTTAGACTACATGAAATCTTTGTTTAGATGCTTTTACTCGGAATGGAACTGGTTTTGTATTCTTTTTAGCCAGCAGAAAGCACTGGATTTAAGAATTGTTTCTGCTTTGCTACAGGCTAGATTTTTAACTAGGTGCCTAACTACCACATGGTGGCTGGGGGCTTTTTCAAAAATTCCACTGTAGTTGCCTCTCCTGCTGACTCGCCTTGCTTTCTAGAGAGGCACAAGCTAAATATCAGAGTGGAAATCACAAAACCCTGAATTCCGTTCTG